TCTGGTGGTTGAGGGAGCTTTGAAATATAAAAGTTGAACAGTAGCGGGGAAAGGACACCACCCTGTGGAACCCCCTGTTTTATTTTCCTAAGTTTGCTCGATTTGTCTCTAAAATTACCGACGAGTGCCGACCACTCAAATAATTTCCCGACCACCGTTTGAGCCTCTGTGGGAGAGAGGAAGCCTCTATATCTTCTAGTAGCGTGGAACGGCTGACAGTGTCAAAAGCCTTTGACAGCTGCAACGCTACTAGAATCGTTCTCTCACAGGGATGGTTACGGTTAAGGCCACGAGTTATCTGAGTATTTATGGCGTTAAGTGCTATTGTTGTACTGTGCACTTTACGGAAACCATGCTGATGCTTCGCTGGGGTCAAGTGGTTTGCGAAATACGGGAGCAGCAAGGCCTCGAGTGTCTTCGCTACCGGGGAAAGGAGTGTTATCGGTCGATGCGAATCTCCTTTGTTGGCTGGTTTGCCTGGTTTGAGCAGTGGGACCACTCTGCCCACCTTCCAGATGTCTGGGATGATGAGAGTGGCCATTGACAAATTGAGGACTTCCGTTAGGTACGCTACCCCCGCAGGACCTAAATTTTTCAGCATCGGCATGCATATTCCGTCGGGACCCATGGCTTTGGAGGCTTTCGCCTTCCCGATGGCCACCTGAACTTCACCGCAAGTGAAGGGGGGCACAAGTTGTTGGCAGTTTGTGCAGGGTTCTGGTCACTCGACGCTTGGCTTTGTCCACCGGAGGATGCAGTGTCGAATGTCGGCTAAAATACCCCGCGCATCGGGTCCGACGAAGCATGGTCGCTAAAAGAAACTTCGACCCTGTCGTCATGCTTCGTCGGATTGGACAGTAACCTCACGGTTGACCAAAGCTTACCCACACCAGAGGTGAAGTTACAGGTCTGCAGATGCTCTTCCCACTTCTTCCGCTTATGTACGTTCACTAGTTGCCGAATATGCGCGTTGATCCCTGATACAGGGAGCCTGACGAAGGCTCCGGGATCGGCCTGACGAAGGCTGTCACACTCGTCGGCTAGAACAGCTGCTTCAGCAGGGAAACTTGGACGTGGGTCCGTTATGTATCCTGCCGGTACGAAGCGAGCTGCAGCAGCGGTGATAGCCCTGCGGAACTTACGTTCACCAAGGGTGACGTCGGTTGGTGTGGGGAGCCCAGCGAAGACGTTTTCAGTAAATTCCGAGATGCCTTTCCAACCAGCTTTAGAAAAGTAGATATAGGTCCGGTGTTCCGCGAAATCAAAGTCGGTTGGTTTATCGATCGAGATGACTATGGGCAGATGGTCTGATGCCAAAGTCAGCATAGGTCGCCATGATACGTTGTTTATCAGACCAGCGCTGACTATTGTTATATCTGGCAAGCTGCAGCAGCTGCCCATAATCCTGGTGGGTGCGTCGTCATTCATTGTGCAGAATGTCGAATCGTCTATCTGCTCAGCCAAGTCAGTTCCCCTACGATCGTTTGACAGGCTTGAGTGCCAAAGATCGTGGTCACCTACTACCATACGATTTTCTCCTCTGAGAAGCGACCTATATCAGGGTGATATCCTGCCGGGCAGCAGGTGACAGAGGGTATGTACACATTAAATATTTCGAACTCAGCATCGCCTGACCGGATAGCAATGCCCTGACATTCTAGGGTGGTATCCCTGCGGTAGATGTCTACTTCAATAAGACGATATTGCAAGGTGTGGTGCGTGATGAACGCTAAGCCACCACCATTATCTCGGTCGCGATCTCGACGGTGCACGTTGTACCCGGCACAATTCAACAATGTTGAATTTCTGTGCAACTTCGTCTCTTGGACCGCAGCTATCAATATACCATGCCTTCCCCTGAAGACGGTTATCTCCTCGATCTTGCTCTGAAGCCCGTTGCAGTTAAGTTTATGTCACATTACGAAATATCCTGGTCTGACATACTATGCAGATTGTAGGAGGAACCAGAAGTTGTTGGCGACGGCATGTGGGTGGTGGCGCGGTTGTGTATGTTCTGTGGTCTGTCGTGGTTGTGGTGTGGTCTATTGTGTTGTTATGTTGATGTGCTGTGGTGTTTGTGTGGAGCTGCTCAGGTGGACTGGGGTTAGCCGTGGAGGCTGCTCTATTTGAGCAGCAGGGGGCCACAACCGACGTGGTCCACTGCCGATGTGTCCGTAATCCTGAGCAGACTCTGAGGTGAATCCACCTCTCGCAAGCATTGCACTTGACTGAGGTGGAGTTATGGTGTAGTCGTCTCTGGCATACACAGCAGGTGTAGGCCCTGGGTTTGACTCGATGCCAGCCCTGAGTAGAAGAATACGTAGCGAGCAACTTCTGAGATACTGAGCAGATAGACGGTTCGACATTCTGCACAATGAACGACGACGCACCCACCAGATATAACAATAGTCAGCGCTGGTCTGATAAACAGCATATCATGGCGACCAATGCTGACTTTGGCATCAGACCATTTGCCCATAGTCATCTCGATCGATAAACCAACCGACTTAGCTTCCGCGGAGCACCGAACATATATCAACTTTTCTAAAGCTGATTGGAAAGGCTTCGCGGAATTTACTGAAAACACCTTCGCTGCTCTCCCCACACCAACCGACGTCCACCTTGGTGAACGTAAGTTCCGCAGGGCTGTCACCGCTGCTGTAACTCGCTTCCTACCGGCAGGATGTATTACGGACGCACGTCCAAATTTCCCTGCTGAAGCGGCTGTTCTACCCGATGAGCATGATAGCCTTCGTCAGGCCGATCCCGGAGATCCCCGTATAAGGGATCTCAACGCGGAGATTCGGCAACTAGTAAACGTACATAAGCGGAAGAAGTGGGAAGAGCATCTGAAGACCTGTAACTTCACCTCTGGTGTGAGTAAGCTTTGGTCAACCGTGAGGTCACTGCCCAATCCGACGAAGCACGACGACAGAGTCGAAATTTCTTTCGGCGACCATGCTTCGTCGGACCCGGAGCGATGCGCGAGCTATTTTAGCCGGCAGTTCATACTGCATCCTCCGGTGGACAAAGCCAAGCGTCGAGAGACCAGAAGGCTGCACAAACTGCCAACAACCTGTGCCCCC